ATATGGAACTAACAGGCGGGCCGCCCTTGAATCAACATGGAGGAATATTTGATCCTAACACAGTCTCGATGGGTGTTTCTGGTGAAGCCGTGGGCTTGAAACAGTGATCACGCGGTCTTTGACATGCTCCAATTGGATCGAGAAGCGATGACTCAAAGCTTAGCAAATGTTGCTGCGTATGAACAAGGATTATTGAAATTTATCTCAGAACATGTCGACGCCAGCTCCATCACCTCCACTACAAGCGGCAATTACACCGTCATTAAACACGGAACATCCCGTGAATATCAAGGTGGAAAGCTCTTATGGGAACAAAGGTGAGATTATTCGTTTTGGCAGCAAGATCAAGCATCGCTTTTGCGATGGCTCTCATTCGTGACCGTATCATTTCTTTTTGGCCGCGCGAATTATTAAGCAGTGACATGGTTCCCGCTACTTTGCTACATGGCAAGAACAATAAAATCGCCATGAAATCGATCTTCCTTACGCTGAATGTGGCATTTCGACAACGGTCGAAGTTTCTGTCATGCCGCCAAGACAACAATACATTGTACGACTATAATCAGAAGCTCCGTGAGTTCGGTAAGTATGGCAAGCGAGCCGCTGCCACAGGTGGTGAATGTTACTGTGTTAATGAAGGGACTCACTAATGGATCCTTTAAGGTTGAAAGCTTATGCCAGAGTCCGACGACTCTGGATGATGCAAGTATGTTTATATTGCGTGAGGACTGCAGTCAACGTCAAGCACGTGGTAAATCGGTCAATCCAATGGGAACAGTGATTCTACTACTCAAAATCCAATCTAAATTGACCTAAGTGTGGTGTCTGTCCGAGAGCAGTAAATTCGCTGTTACGGATGTCAGCAATTTGTCGACACCCGCCGTGGTTGCCCCCGTGGGAGACGAACCTCTCACTACAGTTCTCGTCGTAGTGATTACGAGCCACGTGGTATCAGTATCACGAGGTGTTCGAGAATCGCTGGTACCCAGTAGAAGCTGGGCGGCCTACTGGGGCAGTTGTAGACTCTATTGAGTGTGGTGGTAGAACCACTCATGATGGTTTGACCCTTGCAGGATCGTTGTCCTTCGTTAACAACACAAATTGAAGTGGTCTTCTCGCGGTCACAGCGAGTGTCAAGAGCAATGATCATCAGTTTAGTCTTGCGCATCACGTAACTACGCGCGGAAGCAAATGATATAAGTAATGACTTTATGTCCGTGAGGTTGCAACTGGTGCGGTGGTCACCACGAAAAAATATGGTTGATCTACAACTGAAGTTTGAATATCACAGATGATGTATTCACATTCCTCGATTTACACATCATTGTCATATATCAAGAAATTGACATTCTCCAGGTCAGGAACGATACGAAGTCCTATAATTGACCAGTGGTGGTCACTCAGGAAGTGTGCTGACAGATGAAGTCGTGCCCGAAGCTAACCATCTGAAACAAACAAATCGCTAATGGCCGTGCCAATTTGCCAACGAAAAGAATTTATAAGGGACACTGGCAGGTTTTATCCCCTATAAAACATAAGACTATTATCGATAAGTGTGTACTAGAACTGGGAAGGAATCGACTGTGGATGTATACGCTAATACTCCCACTACAGTGGAACTGCATTAGCTCATTGCCTAGAGGAAGCCTACCGACCTTACGTTTTATACTAGATCCAGTATGGGTGTAGCGAATCGCAGTCCGCTACCTCCAAGAGTACTTAAAATCTAAATCCAAGTCAAATGCACGCTTCGGTTCAAAATCCAAATTGTATTTCTTTTGTATTATTCGCGGCAGAGCCGCTTATATAAAAATCAATAGTTCTCCTAATTCATAAGTAGAACCTGATTAAAATGCATAATTACTGGCAGTCCCGCCACTTAGCGGCTTCTTATTACGGTGTAGCCACAGCATTGTGTGATTACGCCGTCTTGTGTAATCCACACCTCCATATCACTGTTCGTGTAGCCCCGTCATACCTACTTATATCGTGGTCGAGTCGGATTGTGAGTGAGTGAGTAAAACTGACCACGAGGGTGATGCTCCCACCCATGTGTGTTTAAGCACACACATATCACGGATTCAACGTATTTTTTTGATGGTGGTTTTCATACTCTTACCCTGGATGCGTTTGAGCCCGCGGGTGAGTTAATCTTGCATACTACTACTCCCCATGATGATGTACATGTAGCATGCGAATATGCTGATCCAAGTTATAAAACGCAACGACTGTTTCTGAAGTTACTAGAAGAGATGTTCTTATGGAGCCGTTGCGGACGATGGATTAGCTGATGCAGCTATTGAGCGTCACTTAAGATGACTTCCAACACGACCTCAATTGTGATGGTATTGTGGAGGTCGTGTTGCTACAGTCGGAGATCGATTTGGCGGAACTACGCTCATCATCATTTATGGATGATTCGGATTTCGGCGGTTTTCGACAGCTTGTGGAATCACACAGTGGAACTGCTATTCTGGAAATTAACTACCCAAATTATTCACCTTTTACGGAATCTAAGGATGACAACCTTAGTGCGATCCCGCTTCCTGGACTTCCGCTTAAATGTAGAGATCGATACGAAATTGATTGTGAGCTTGGTCTTAAGCATACAGCGTGAACAAGGTGAGCCTATCAATGAGTACTTTGCTCATAAAAAGCTGCTGTTTGGCAAGGGAGAGCAAACCCTTAATAGCGCGCCGACGCTTTTTGTTCGTAAAGGTAAATATCAAATGGCGTATCGCTCACTCCTATAGCAATTTGATGCGCAGACGATTTCTGTTTAGAGACCGATTCCGCGTGAAGATGTCATAATCCACCATATGCTCAACTTACACAATTTAGCGTACTGAATTTAGGTGATGGATATTACCAAATCTTGTCGCGCCCATTTGATGGCTATTAGTACACCGTCCGGTATGTTATGGGAGTGGCTTGTGACACCACAAAGACTGTATAATGCTCTAGATGCGTTTAATCGATAGGAATCCCGTATGTTTTGACTACTATGATGCTTCGCACAAACACATTATAACGATACTTTTGTTCATTCGTCAGATGACAGGTCTGTCTAAGAAAAGCACTTGGTGCAACTTCGTGTGGTGCTGGCATGTATGCGCGAACTTTCATTGCGAAAGAGATTTGAATTTGTATGTATAGTGCTGACAAGGTACCGGAGCTCGGTTGATAGATTTATGAACACTTTGTTCGTGCAGACCTTGAGAATACCAAAGAAATAATGGATTGACCGATGCCTCAGAAATGGAATGGTTTGAGAAACGATTTTTTTGTCGAATCACCTGCAACGCTTATCGCGGAATTGATACGCCCACTATCAAAATTGCCGGAGAATGTCGGAGAAGAATCACTCACTCAGATCAAGAATGTTTTGGTGAAGGCACCATTTATTGCTCTATCGGAAAAAACGAAGCTGTGTAGCGTGGTTTGTGACGCCTCTAAGTTTGCAATCGGTTATGTACTATTGCAAAAGGGTCCAAAAGGACACGATCGTTGCGTGTTGTCTCAATTGCGACAGCTGGGGCAAGCAGAAAATGAACTACCCAGTCAACGGCATGGACCCTGTGGCATTGAAATATGCTCCGGTAAACTTCCGTGTTCACGTCTCACCTTCAACGCTGTTAGTAATCTACACGGATCACGCAAGCTTGCGATATACTGATCAGTCTGCTCACTTGTCACAGCACATTTCTGAGTTGTCACTCGTTACAACATACAAAACGACGTATTCGATTTGATACGTCGAGCGTATGTTGAAGAAGAGCTGTGTGATCTGAGCATCAAGGCGCTCTCACCGAATAAAGTGGAACTTCATGACAAGCCTCAGGTTCGCTTGAAATTACGGAGGCATCGTTTTGCATCGAAAAATGGCCTTCTTCACTACATATTTGTATATGGCGACGAGCCGCGGATTGTGACTCCTCACAAGGATGATTCTAAGTACAGAATCGTGCATGAGACGAACGATACACCAACGGACGGTCACTTTGGCCGCGAAAAGATCTTTAATCTCTCAGAGCCCAGTTTTGCGGTCATGCATGTACAATTGGGTTGCACGCTATGTGAGGATATGTTATGTCTTTCAGCGCGTGAAGAGCACCCGGCACACTAAACTAGAACTGTAGAGTCTCCATGCTCCTATTGACTACTGGAAGCTAAAGTGTTTTGATTAAAATTTCTGCTTTCCCGAAAATGCCGATGGTTACAATATGGAGCGATCGTCTTCGTCGAAAGACTCAGCAATATGGTTTGCATCGCTCGATGTAGCGATTCTATCGATGCCGCACATTCGGCCATACTATACATTGATCACGGTTTTTTTGCAAACAAAGGTTGCTAGACGGCATCATTCCTAATCGTGATTCATAATTCAAGGAAGGCTTTTGGAGATAATTGATTTAAATTCTTGGCACTCGCTTTGATATGTTCACAGCAGTACACCCAGAGACCGATGGGCAAACAGAACGTGCCGACCGAGTGATCGTTGATGTGTGGAGAATCTTTTGCGCGGAAATTCCCGCCGGATGGAGTCTCTTGTTACCGTTGGTAGAGTTTGCTATGAACAATTCTTTCGATTATCCTATCTATTTACGTCAATTCTTATGACAGCTCACAACCGCCGCAATTACCGCCATTGTCTTTTTGATGTAACAGTAGGTGTAATGTTTGTGGTCTAAACATATTTTAGATGAAAAGGGTTGATATCGACGTATGATATTATGGTATACGAGCACATTACACTATTGTTACTGTTATCCTGCCAAAGCCCCAAGGGAATAATGAAGCACCTTAGAGGAGATGAGATGAGAGAATACGATCAAGATAATTGACACGTGGGCTTTTTGCATCAAGTAATGTTTATCAAGGGTATTTATGATGGGTAGTAAAAAATGGACATTTTTCAGAATGAGCCAAAGCCGAACATATGAACGTTATGTCGTTGTTAAAACACAGAACTACCTTGTTTCTATGACAGGCTACCGGTTTCACTCCGTGGTAAAGCGTACCGTCTCATACTATTTACATCAGCGAATGCAAATTCGTTGCGTCAGGGCCATTCCGGCGCGAAAAGTACGACAAACTCGATGGATAAACATGTGTAGCTTGATCCAGAAAGACTGATGTCTGGCAATTGTGACCAATCAATACGGCGCCAGCACTTTGAAGTATGGTGCGACCAATATCATGCTGCACTAATTCTTGATTGAACAAAATCAGATCCATGATATCAACTTTGGTGTTCCAGGGTCTACGGGATATTGATAGTAATTATTTTATCCTCCAGGAGAGATGATCTCATATGTGTTAGTCTCGAAATATATCAGCATGAACGAACTTCTCATTCTTTTGACATTTTATAGCATGCTCACTTAAACTGACTCTTATCAGTGACACATCGAGCCCTTTCACTTAGTTTGGTTCGTTCGGTCAAGGCAACCCGTAAATGTGTGTATTTTAGGCTACACCTCTCAAAAGGTGCCTCGTTAATCCATTTATTTTAACAAAGGCAGAACGGTGCCAAAATTTACTATTCTGGCGAAAAAAATCACACTATAAAACGCAACTGACGAGTCAGCCTTACTCCTTTAGGAAGTTCAATGTTCTGATTCGTCGGTTTACTTCTTCAAAAGGACTGTTTTTTGAAAAAGCTACACATGTGCTTAACTTTTATTTTGCCTTATAGATAGAATCGCTTGAGGGATAGTTTAGCTAATCACTCACCGTAAAAAGCAGTTATTAATCAATTCTTTGAGTTTAAATAGATTGGGATGCTTTCGGTCACTAGAAAAGGTGCTCTTAAAGTGATTGCATCTACTTATATTTAATTTGTTTCAGCGGCTAGTTTGAACATTTGCTCTGCAGTCATTTTTCCTTTCTTCGTCGAATAGTAACCTCTCTTCAGAGAACTATTCCATTTTTGTCACACTATTGCAAAAGACGAGAGATTCAACAAAGTGGAAAAAATATACCACACAAAACGGAAGAAATGTGTGCTCGAGAAAAAGCTTCATGCTGTGAGACGTCTCGCCATGGAAACTACAAATGAATAATCATTTGGGTGTTATTTCGTTGGAACCAGTCATACTGCGCAGTAAGGCAACAAGATTTGGGCTTGAACACGCTGTTGACATGACGCCACTAAATACAGCTTAAAAAAGGTAACGCAACGATATGTATGTCGTACGTGCACAAATTTTACGCTGTTCGTACGAAAAACGAACTCAGAACAACCTAGTAATTGATTCCTCTATCATGATTGGGAGTTTCAATTGTTGGTCCTGAAGAGGTTCGTAGAAGAGGTAGAGCATGAAGTGATTGTAATTCAGGCTCCTAATTTGCAAAACCGCTTGCTACCTATAAGTCTTTTATTTTTTTATATTAGACTCACTATACTAGATCTAGCTTTTCAGCGACTACCGGTGCGCCTGCAATCAGTTACCGTATTGTGTCCTTAATCATGACCAGGCGTATACCGTATCCCTGTAACATTGTTCATCTGCCCAACCAGCATCCAGTAGTGTAATCTCAACACTCCCACTTGCCGCCAATGTTGTGTGTGCTTGGCACGCGATTCTCTTGCAGTCCGAAAATAAGCTGAAGATTCTTGGTTCCCAATGGTTGAGTCATCATGTCTGCCACTTGCTATTTCGTCGATACACCTTACCACAGTTCTGTCCTGAGCCACATTTTCTCCAATGAAGCGGTGGTGAATGTTGACATGGTTCGTTGAAACCCGTATTGTTTGCCAGTGCAATTGCCGTTTGGGGGGTCTATCAAGACCAAAATCACCCCTACTTGCTCACGGAAAAGATCTTAAGGTATTCATCAAACCATAGAAATTCTTGTGTACATAAGCTCGACGTCATCTGCTCAACTTCTGCTGAGCTTCGAGTCACGATCTATCGATAATATAGACTTACATATCACAGGCGCATCCCAGTCATGAGCATAACGCCTGACACCGATTGCCAGTCGTCAATTTAGTCAGCATCCGTATAAGCCATGAACTGGATCTATATATGCTTTTTTATAAACAAGCCCGTACTTTTGTGTCGTCATTAGGTATCGTTGCACGCGAATAGCCGCTTTCCAGGTTTTCTAAATATGGCATTTTAACAAACCCAGAAAATCAAGTCACCAGATATGCGACGTCGAGGCGAGTATATGTTGTGATGCAAAAACGACACCTGATAAGCGACCTGTACGCTTTCAGCGTCACCCTTCTTGGCAGCATCCGTCGTCGGCCTTTGAATCTATGGCAGATTCAAGCCAAATTCGCACGAATTCTCGACGGCAAAGATTTTGCTGGCTAAATTGCTTGACAAAATCGTTAATATAATGCGTCTGTTTGACCATAACGGTATCCGTCGTGTATAGTGTAGCGGATCGCAATTTGCCACCTCCAAGAGAGCTTAAAACATTAACCAAGGTGAAGACGCTTTTCCATATTAAATTAAAATTTGTACATATTTTTTAGTTGCGGCAGAGCCACAAATGTCCAAAACATCAGAATTTTATGACTAAATTAAGTAATGCCTAATTGATGGGGTACAACCCAATTAATATTACTGGCAGTCCTGCCATGCAGTAGCTTCTTGTAACGGTGTAGCCACGACATTGTGTGATTTCACCGTCTTGTGTAATCCACACCTTTGTACAGTCATGTGATCCGCCCTTTCATACCAGGGTACGTATAAACCCGTTGCACTCTCCCCCATAAAAAATTGTGAATATCCACAATTTACATTTTATTGACATCTCGTACGAAGCTCATGAGTTTAAGGTACGTTCACTTCCTCAGGACCATCTTCACGCATTTTTACTGCTCAATGAGCCCTATGTCTATGATACGAAAAACACGGAACCTCGCTGGTCTCGAGAGCGCCCGCGGGCAGAGCCTGTTTTCGTCTCCTGCACGCGTTATAATATTATACTCCGGACGGTACCTCCACGGCTTCACGGGTAGCCCATCTTAAGCCCTCGGCAGCGCGGCGCTGCACACCGTGTCCGCCACGGGCGACAAATCTTCTCGTCAGAATATTCTGATAAAGTCGACTATGAGTCTTTTCACAGGGCAAAGAGAAGAAAAAAACGAGGTGCGCCAACGGCACGATGTGAGCCCTACCTGAAGGTGCGGACACCGTGTCCGTTTCCCGACCTCTCCACTTTCTGGGGAAGTGATAACATTGCCAATCGCCTCGACGAGACACATGAGCAGTAGTTGAAGGCTGCTTGCAGGGCGGCTATGCGCGCGTATTCGCGACCGGCTCTAGACTCTTGTGTGGAATACGGCTTTGGCGTGGCAGATCCTGCTACATAAGCGGAGGACGTAATCACTCAAGCGTTGGGCGTCAACATAGTCGACCTCTCGACCCTACACAAGCCTAGCTGTACCATCGAATGCTTTCCAAGCTCGCTTCTTGGTACATCTAGAAATCCCAACAAATAGGCACCGCGCTCGACTTCGCGCTCAAAGAGGAGGCGCTACTGTACCGGCAATGCGACCGACTCCTGTGGTGCTCGCCCCTGTCGGAACCGCTGCAAATGATGAAGAGCTTTTTAAACGATGGGTGCAGCGACATCGGAGACTTTCCTCGCTGTCGAACCTTCAGCAAAGCACAAAGGTTGTGAATGTATTCGTAGATGCCATTTTGGTTTGAGTTTGCTCAACCCAAGGCTCAACGCCGACTTCCTGAGTATTGTCGCCCTGCGACACATGGTGCCATTCATCACGCTCCCACAAAATCTGCGGTTTCTCATATGGGTGGGTATACGACCACAGCAGCTCAGAGTTATAGCATGAGCTCAGCTCGTGGCTTCCGGCTTCCTCGACTACCGCCAAGAAGCCTCGGGCGCATGATGACGCGAGGCATCATTATTGTTCTGATCATAGTCTACGACGTCTGCGTAGTTTGTCGAAGTGGCATTTCAAACTTTCACGAGTTCTAGGAGTTTGGGTTTACCCGCTGCTTCACAAGATATTGGGTATGATGCCGTCGACCCGCAAGTCGTTTCAAGTGATAGTGGGCATCACCGTTTTTGTCAAGAAGAGACGAAGGCGATGATAAGTTGGCATCGCCGTTTGGTGACTTGCGATGAACTTCGCGCTCTTGGGAGCAAAGTCCATTGTCATCGGCACTTCGATGAGCTTCTTACCGAATTTGCATACCGCTGTGCGGAAGACCTCGAGAGCTTGGAGCTCTTTGTGCACCAACTGCCTCATGTTGAGCACTGTCTAGCTCTGTCGGAGCTGCTCCCAGCCGTCGAGCAGACGAAAGCGTCACTTCGTGTAAAGGTGGAGCGCCAGGCGCCGTTGGAAACGGAAATTCATGCTCACAGGTGCTGGTTAAGCATCTGAGCGGTCGAGCGCCAGAGCGCGCTGCTCCGGCGCCAACGCTTCCGCATTTAGTTGCACCGGATCGCACCACGGCTTGAGCAAGCCGACTCGGTAGATTCAGCGTATACGACCTTAAAAGGTTCGATAAACCTTTAACAAAGCTTCGTCTCAAAGACAGCAATAACTGCATGGGTAGGAGTGTTTGTAGCGTCTAATAAAGCCTGGTCTCAGACCTCAAAGTTTTTAGCATTTCTTCAGTTTTTAGCATTTCTTCTGCTTCTTCCGTCTGCATATATTCTCTGCATGTTTTGGCAATCAGCCATGACATTGCCGATGTACTCAGTTCAGCAGACAGGAGGTCATCGACTCATTCCAGACAGTGAGGGGGCTAATTTCCTAGCAGCTCGGCTATTTCCCCCCACCAGATCCTAAGCCCTGGGATGACGGCGTCAGCGGAACGCCGAAATGAAAAAGCCCATTCACGTTGAATGTGTAGCCGGCAGATTTATACCAAGCAAACATTACGAGTTGTGGCATGGCGCTCCAGCACTTCGACGGCTCAGCGCAGACGCTGCGAAAGACGTCGACATCTACACAATTCACGCGCTCAGTTCGACCATCGATCTTCGGATGATAGTAAACTTGGTGCCCAGCACTCTGAAGATTGTCGACCAATACTTCCATGTGAAGCGTGGGTCTCTGTCAGAGATAATTGACCACGAAATTCCATGCTTTCAAGAGACACGATCGAAAATTATAGTCGCCGAACCAAAAAAATCGTCGATGGTGTCCGGCACTGCCATCTTGCTCAAGCGGTCGACAAAGACCACCACACCCGTGTGCAACCACAAAGTCCAAACCCATAAACTACTTTTACCCGGAGAAA